CACAGATCTATTTGGGTGGCGTTAGTTTATATCCCGGCATTCTCAACCAAGACAGCAGCGCTAAAACACGCAAAAGCACGTTTTTTGGAAATTTCTTAGAATCTTCTGGCCGGATCCGAAAACAAATTATCAGTTTACCACCGAGAGACCGAGACACGTCGAATGGAACCTTATACCTTTCGATTGGTGCGGAGGAAGTGGGCTAAATTTGAGTGACAGATCCTCACACGTACTCACGCATACTCACAGTTACTCCAATACTGTGTAGGGATTAAATTTGTTCTCAAAATACAGAAAAAAATGTTTTGTAATACAAATTTGCTGATCTGCGAAATTAAATGTCTAAATATGTTCTAATAATGGAGGCAGTTGCCCCCCCTCCTGAAATCCCCTCTGAAGATATCCCTTGCGCTTCATAGTCTTCTGAGTGGCCTGTGAGTTCGGGCAACTTACGACATAGATTTTGTGGCGTAAATCACTGAGCTTGAATAACTATCGGAGCAATCTAAGGTTTTTACGTCCCACATCCAGATGATGATGATTTCCTAACACTTGTATTTATGAGGATGATATTTCTGTCTCTTCGGTTAAAAATTTTAGAAGGATTTATGTTCCTTGACTAGAGAGCAGGTGGTATTTTCGGACCTGCCGACAAATATTAAATTAATGTGCCGCGAGTGAATAATAGGATTGCAAATAATTGTTATAATAGGGTTTACAAGTATTTTTTTAATGCCAAGAGTGAAGACAGCCACAACCGTGGCTGATACGATTGTTAACATGATTTTTCTGATTAAAGGGAAACCCTAACTTCCAACAACAGAACAACACCAAGTAAGCTTAACTATGCTAATGTTACTCACAAATATACTTTTGCTGGGAAAGATCAAGCCATAATCATTGAAGCAGAAGACAGATTAAACATTAAAGAATATATACACGAGATTGCATCAATAGTTGATTCCTGTTCACACGATTCATATATCATATCCAGTAACAGGATCTGCATTTTTCTCTCAAGCCCTGAAATAACTAAGAGTATTAACGGAGATACACACAATGTCATAGAAATAGATAAACATAATCCCTTAATTAAGAGAAGAAAATACCTTTAATTAATAAGTATATCTGAGTCATCATCTCTAATGTTTGCCTCGTGATACCCCACGAAGAAATCTTAAAATTTCTAAATCAAAAAGAAATTAAAACATCATCTAATATTTTCATCACACACAGGCTTAATTTGGTACCGAAACCATTCCTTGTTTCCTGTGTAAGTAAGAGAATCAAATTGCCTGCGCCCTACTCTCACTGTGAGATATAGTAACTGACTATAGTAGGCCAGGAGTTCCATTGAATTGGTGAGGACAATCAATTTGGAAGAAAGTCGTTTGAACCGGTTTGGCGTACGTTTGGACCACCGACGGCCGGACAGACATACAGGGAGACGGACTGACAAACGCGTTGTTTCGTTGTCAATCGATTTCTCGGTTTCAAAGACCCACAAAACATGGATTGTAAACCCGAGAATGTGTAAAATGGAATAATTTGCTCTATAATGCAACAATATATTAATTTTTTGTTACCATAGCGAAGGTAATTCTGTGTTTTTGTGTTTAAAATTCGCCGATTTTTTGAACGCAAGATAAAATTTTGTCTTCTTACGAAGTAAAGGAGCGAATGCCAAAACACTTTTTTGGTATCAGGGTAACCAATATGCGCATTTCCGTTCAAAACTCGAAATCGATTTTCCAGAGCATTAGGTAATATTCTCTTTAAACTTTTATAACTCATAAACGTAGGTAAAGAAGAAAGTAAAAATTACACAATAATTTCTTCTGATATATTACAAAACTACATGTTTCAATTCTATAAATTATTACTAACCGTATAATGTAAACTTAATTTCGTACTCAAACTAAGCAAAATGGACTTTACCGATTTGTTTGCTTGACCTTGCATTACATTCATAAACAACCCACTCGCTGGTTCGTGTGCACACTCATTTGGATTATTTCTCTCGACTTCCTTTTAGCGATCTGTGTCGCTGCTTGGGGGCAAAATGCTTCGCCCGTTCGCGCCACACACGGATGAACCGTTTATAGTAAGTACTGGTACTAGAAAACGCCTTGGTTTTGAGATCTAAATGAACATTTCGTTCCTTAACCATTTAATTATTTTCAGCGTCAATCCTAGATAATCCGCACAGATGGAACGCGATTAGATACTAAACTTAATTGGAAACAACACAATGAGATAAAAGCACAACAGGCAAAAATCAAACTCATACAATTAAGACCTCTACTAAACTCATACAACGACCTCTCACTGTCAAATTCACTAACGCTATACAAATCACTTATTGCCCAATACTATTTTACGCATGCCCGATCTGTACAAATATAGCCAAAACCAATCTGAACAAATTGCAACTCTTTCAAAACAAATATTTAAGATCAATAACAAGAGCACCATGGCTCATTAGTAATAAAGATCTTCTTAACGATCTAAACATAAATGAAATAATACACCAAATAGCCTATCAAACAACTTTTACACAAACTTATCCTTCATAAAGGCATCAACTCACTACAGACTCGGAAAAGATCCCAGATACAAAACCAGAATTAAGAACAGATTCCCGCTCCTTTCTTTCGCCCAGATATTTGTAAATGTTGAATAATTCTCCTTGTTTCCTCTCCCTATATTAAGATTCATTAAGTACAATTTTAACGTAGATTGTCATCAAACAATTGCAAAGTTTTTATTGTAAACTGAACATCGTTCTTCAACAAACAATTAAATACATTTTTTTAAAAAGGGAACGCGATGATGACTCGATGTTTCCTCGCCAAGAAGCGTGAGGAAGGCGCGAGGGTGTGGCCGCGGGGCGACTGGTCTCGCAGCTGAGAACGCGTGGTGTAGGTCAACGCGGCTTCTGCGTTCCGCGCCTCCCTCCTCCCTCCCTCCCTTCCTCCTCTCCCCCTCTCCCTCTCTCTCCCACGCCATCGCGTCGCCGTCTTCCTCCGCCGCCGTGTCGGTCATTTCTGCGCCACGCCGCCTCGCCCGCCAGACAGACGCCGCGCTGTGCAGCGCTGCGCGCTCGGGCCTCGAGTGAGTACAACGCACACCACATCTATTAATAGAGATGCGGCATCGATGTCGAGGTTTTCAAGACATCGACGTTTTGAAGGAGTCTGTGCACGCCGAAGCAGCAGCAGTATCGATCTTCTGCTCATGCGCAAATGCACTGAAGTGATACGAAAGTTGAAATGCGCATGCGCGGAAGAGCGATAGTACTTTGATGTTCGAGGGTGTACAAACTCTTTTAGAAAAACTTCGATTTATTTAACATCGACATTTTGAAGCCGATGTTTTTTTAACATCAATTATTAGTGTTCGATGTGTATAAGTGGTCGATATTTATTAAACAGTTACAAAAGCCTATAATAATTTTCAGATATCCATAAATTGAATTTTCTTCAGACCAAAATTACCAAGGGTGAAAAATATATAAAATCAAGTTTTCTTCAATAAAGAAACCTACTTTTTTAAATTATCGAATAAAATAATTTTAGTTTTGTTATTGTAATTATCCTGAATTTTTTTAAAAATTTTGTCTAATGTCGGATACATCTCAATTAAAAATTAATAACGAGTAATTTTAAATTAAATCTCCCCCGCGTGAACTTCAGTGGTTATTACTCCGGTTTTTAAAACATAGAAGTTTAATAACATTGCAGGTTTTGGCTCGATGTTTTAATAGGAAGTTTGTGCACGCTGCAGCGGCATGTCGATCTTCTATGCATGCACAGATGCACTAAAGTGGTGTGAAACATGAACTGCGCATGCGCAGAAGGTGAATAATGCTTTTAACGTTCGAGGGTGCACAAACTACCTCATTGACAATGAAAGTTTTCCTTGGTATTGTATACCCTTTTCCTTGGTATAGTCACATTCATAACAATACATGATACGTACATAGCAGAAAGTAAAACAACTCACATTGAAAGACTTATTCTCATACAAAACTACCATCTCTAGGTAACAATTTTTGTTATGTATTCTGTTATTTTTAATTGCACGATTTCATATTGTAAATATTGCACGATTCCATATCGTAAATAAACCTAACATTTCTGTCCAATATCGCCAATTTTCAGCGCACTCTTTCTCTTTACTTCTTGACTAGTCAGACGAAAAATAATAATTTGTATTAAAAACTTGTTTGAATGAGCAAAGGTCGCTTATATATTCGTAAGTGTCATGAATTTGTACTTTCCGTAAACTTTCTGATTTTTAGAAAATTACAGAAGTAGCTAATAAAGTGAGAAAGTAAGTGCTGTTGTAGCACCTGTAGTTCACAAATCTGAATAGATATTGAGTAATAAGTATACCAAGAGCAGGAACAGTTTGAGTACGTCGCGCATTTCCATCAGTTTCTGTGAAGTAATGCAACTAGATAATAGACGTATTGATATTTTATGCGATCATAAATAGAGCGCACTCCACACTTCCTCTCTAGTAACCGAGTTAGAATGGCAAACTACTGTCTTGTGTTGAAAGTTATATTTTCGTGGAAAGGCATGGGAATCCATGGGGTTCTCGATGTCGCTGGTGTAGAATCTGCAGCGGACGCAGATGATGTTGCGCTGAGAGTTGAGATATGTTGTGGGTAGATCGCAGATTTAATGCTGGGACTCCTCCCTTCTATGTTCATTACGACCATAGAAATAACACACACTATTATTGATTGAAATATAATATTTTCTGTAAGTAAAGAATGTCTGAGTGGTACGTGAGATTGCGATGGGGTAGAGTGTGCTGGGGTCGGTTGTGCTGGTGCGGTTGCAGGGAGACACTGGGCATCTCGTCTCGCATTTGGCAACTTCATCTCAAAGTTAGGACATCTAGTAGAGAAATGCTCTCTTTCGGCGGGGCGTTTGCATGGGCCGAAGCGGCGTTGCGCTAAGGCTCTAGGGATCCGTTTTGGTCGTCAGGTCGCCGGAGCTCTTGCCTTGCTCCTTGGGCAGGCGGTAAGTGGGATGCCGTTGGCGCTGGCGCTGGCGGTGCTGCTGGCGCAGGCGCTGGTGCGGGCACGGGCCGAGGCAGCGCTGAGCTGCGAAGAGGCGGCGTCGGCGCCGCTGGTGGCGCTCGAGCGGCCGTGCACAGCTGCCGCAGGCGCTTCGCACTTCGTGTGCAACCAGCGGCTGCCGCTGGCGCGGCACCAGAACGACGCACAGACGCTCACAGCCTTCAGCGTCCTCGCCCGCGCCCCCGCACGCCTCGAAACGGCCGCGGGCGACCTCGCCTTCTGTGTGGGCCTGGAGGAGCTGCTCAAAAGCGACATCTACACCCCCGAGGGCTACTACCTCGACCAGCGAAACACCTTCGCTCGCGACCTGGCCGTGGGCGTTGTGGTGGTCGACGCGCGTTGCTGGGGTGCGGGG